AAGGATGATATGAGCTATATCCCACAAAGTGCTTTCAGCTTCTTAGAGAAAGCCCCTTTGGTCACTTTTTCCAACCGTGGCAGCCACCATGCTTGCCACATACCAAGCACAGGAATCCAGGGAGAAGGACAAGTGTGCTTTGGTGATGATTTTGGCAATCTTCATTTATTGCCGTCCATGCTCATAAAATATGCCACTTAATTGTCTTGGCAATTGGGGTAACAAATTTGAAAAATAATTACTGCCTTTTTGGAGATTACTTTGCCTTCTAATTAAAGCCTCCAGACTGGGATATTAAAGGTGCATTGTCAATACAGCATCCTGGATGCACCCAGCTAACCTCGTTTAGGAAGGCAAAATTAATTAGTTTGTGTTTTAACACCCAGCTGTTATCTCAAGGAAAGAAATCATCTACAAGTCGGCCATGCACACAGTCTCTAAATTGGCCAGGGCGACTGAGGAGCGATAAAGGAAATGGAGAGTGATTTGTTCCCGCATAACTGTCAGCTTCTAGAACAAGCTGCTCATTAAACGGCGTCCCCGTGTCCCTGTCAGACCTCACTCAGGAGCTCTTGTTTACCCACAGAGGCAGAATCGGAAATGAGAGGGTCCCTCCCTGCCACTGAGCTCTCAATTCATTCCGGAGCCTCTTTTGCTGTTAACACCTTTCCCAGTGAGCAATTCTGGGCAGCAGATCTGAGAGGCTGGGTGTTTCTATTCCTGTCTTAGCTGGCCAGAGTCACAAAGCTGCATGCACTGCTAGCTTCCCCCCTCTCCTTTTCCACTTCTTCTCATTTTTCAATTCCATTTAAGTCCGAAGTTGCCGAGCGCCATGGAAGCAGGATAATCAATTCTAGTTTATGTTACGATAACGATCCCTGAAACCCTTGTGATTTAGCACAACAGAAGTTTATTTCTCATCCTCGCAAAGTGCGATGTAGGTTGGTTGGAGCTGTCTTCCAACCAGTGATTCTAGGATTTAGGCTTCTTTCATCTTAGGCTGACATCATCTTTCCAGGAGGCACTGAGGTTCTCCAAGGCAGGAGTAAGCTCTTGGGGAACAGTTGGTCCAGCAGGGACCATTTCCTATTGCAGTCTATTGGCCAGAACTGGTCATGGGACCCCAGCTTATTTACAAGGGATGCTGAGAGATATAGGCAAGCCCATGGAGGATTGGTTGAGTGATGCTGTCTCTGCCATAGTGCCTTGGCTACACCACACACTGAGCCAGGTGCCTCTGATGACCCCACAAAGGAGTGTAAGGCATGGCCTCTGCCCTTGGGGAGATCACAGTACAGTTTCAAGTGGGAGTCCAACCCATACAGTAATGAAGGATCAGCTCGGGTTGATACGCACGATAGCATCCATGGAAACAAAACTCATAATAATAAGGGGGGAATGACTAATTCAGTTTGAGCTGAGAGTGGAACAAAGGGAGCATTTCCAGGAAGACGTGATTCACGTGCTCAGTTTGAGGGGAAAAAAAAAAAAGAGAGTTCACCAAGAGGACATGTAGGGGAGAGGCACATCTACGGGGAGGGCACTGCACTTGTCTGGGTAAACTCAGACCCACCTATGAGCTGCTTGGACGTTTCCCCACTGATTCAATTCTTCCCTGCCTCTCTCTGGGCAGAGCATCAATGGCTTGAAAAGAAATTTATTTCTGAAAGCCTTACCCTGCTAAGCCCTTACAATCAGAAAATAAACAAACCGCAAATCCCTAATCTGTCATGTGGCCGTTGTTAGGGCTTAAATTTCTCAGGGAGTGAACAGTCTTTGAGATGCTCTCATGAGGGGACACAGCCCGTGGCTCATGTGTCCCTGGATAGTGTCAACAGCAGCTGCAGCCAGCTCATCCCCAACCCCGGCAACGCCCCCACCCCCCAGAATCACTATGGAGTGAAAAAAGCCCAAGAACCAGAAGTGGGGAGGCTGCATTTTATCCAAGCTCTATCTGACCAGCTGTGTGAGAGGTTTGCCTCTTCTCAGGCAAGTCACCCTGGATTCTCACTTTTTCCTCTGTAAATTGAAAGACGAGGACAAGTTCAATCCAGGAGAACCGTGGATTACCCATAGATATGGTCTGTTAACTCACCCAATAGGGACTCACCGGATTAAAAAAAAATTTTTTTTAAGTAGTTGCCAACATTTAAAAATTTGGAGAATTTGTGTTAAAATCCAGATTTCTGATACCTTTGAAAAAATCAGAAAATTTGACATGACCATACAAGACAACAATAAAACCAGCTACCCCTTTAGATGCCACAGTCCCCCCCACTCCCTACTGCCCTGGCAACACAGAGGCCAGTGTCAGTTTTCCTTACACACATGTCCCAACTCCCAGCTCGCTCAGCTATATCCCCTGCCAGACCGCTGAGCTAGATGAGTTCTCCAGGCCCAACTGTCTTTAAAACTCGATGACTATCCCTTATGCTTACTTTTTCCCCCACTTTTTTCTAAATAAGTCTCGTTCTTAGGTTCTTTTGGCAGAACCACCTACCAGTTAGAGCAGGGCTTCTTAGCCTTGGCTGCACATTTGAATTACTGGGGGAGGTTTTAAAAATCCCAGCGTCCAGGCTGCACCTGGATGTGGGACCCAGGATGGGTCGTCTTAAAGCTCCAGGCAGGGGCAGCCTAGGTTGAGAACCATTAAGTTAAAGCTGAAAGTGCAATGGAGTAGCTCAAGAGGGGGTGAGCTCCCCATTATTAGATGTAGTTAAGCCGAGGTGTCAGCTGCTGCTCTTCTGAATTCTTCTCCTCCATGCGCTCTTCCTGCCTTCAACCCCCAGGGTCCTCCCAAGCTCAGCTCAGCCCCACTGAGCATATAGAGTATTGAGGTAGTCTAAGGAAGGGCTCCTTATCTAATAAGCCCCAGTCTCAGCTTCAAGCAGCCCCCTGAGCCGGCACCATGCCTCCTACATATCAGCTGGGATGAAACTTCTCAACCATGCAGGACAGAAATGATGAAGTTCTGTGGTATGTCCGCCAACTCTTTTCCTATTATTTTTTGTATTGTGTTTGCAGTTACTAGAGCCATTCTTCTGTCCTCTGCCTCTGCCTCTCTGTCTGATTCCAGGTTGGAAAATTCAGCTGCAGGGAAGTTTCTTGGCTCAGACAAGATGAAAAAGGAGAGGGTACAAAGAAAGGGGCCTTCAACGGACAGGCTTATGAAACAACAGCCGTTGTGAAAGGGGGCCGCCTGCAGAGCCCAGAAGAATCATGTTCACTCTGATTCCGGCCGTTAGGGACCACAGACTCCCTCATCAACGTTAGGGGGGAAATTCAGATCACCCTTGCCTGACAGACAGGATGGGGTGGGAGGGAACCTTGAAATAAGTTTTATTATATCCAATAGTATATGACTTACTGAAATTATATGGGTTATTAGGAATCTATAACCTTGTCTGATACAAAGGCTAATGTCTCCCCCAAAAGCTAAAGGATTTAAGCTTGAGTCTCTGAAATGTTTGGGGGTCCCTCTTTTGGAGCTGCAGAAGGAACCTCTTGCAAAAGGGTGTACTTGGGCTTCTAGAGAAGCTGCCCCCAAACTTTGAGCTAGAAGCACTGTTAATAATGGAAAACAGTTGTAACTTTCAGCAATATGTAAGCGTTCTGTGCAGCGTCGTTTTACCTTCTGCCATGAATTTCACTGACACGTGTGACTTTATAGTCTTGGGCATCACTGTGCCTAGGCACCACGGGGAACGTCGTTGGCCTGTGCTTCCGATGGGGGGTGGGTGTTTCTCACAGTGGCAAACGGGAGCTCGTGGGATGGGGGCCCACAGAGTGTGTGTGAGTACAGAAAACCACGGACACTGTCTGGTGGAGACACAGTAGTAAGGACTTTGTGATAGGGAAGTACGGTTTTCCACCAAGGCATACGCATTACATCTAAAAGGATTCAGCATTGGGTAAGTGGAAGGTTTTACTAGAAATAAAGAGGTTGGACCACGCATCCCAGTGGGTTCTAAATCCAAGCAGGAGAAAAACCATGATGGAAAACAAAAATGATGGCAAAGAGAGTGTCTATTTTCCCAGTTCTGAAGACACTTCTGGATTGTGGTAGAACTTGGAGGCTGTCTTGGCCATCCCTTGGTCTGTGCCCCATCGTTGCATAAATGTGAAAAAGTGGGTCCAGCAGGGAGAAGCAACTTGCTCAAAGGCACACCGGTAGTTGTAGACAGAACTGTCACTGAAACCACCTCTCAACCTCTGTTGCTTAGCCTGTGAAATGAAGATGGTTTCTTCCTCACTTCTTTCTCGATTAAGGTAAACCAAGGCCCTCTATGTACAAAGATAGCTCAGGACCTCACTCAACACAGGAAGCCCTTAGCCTAAAGCTCTGCTCTCCCCGCCCTGCCCCCTCCCCGTATTTCCTCTCATACTTCCGACAGAGTCCTTTGCAGAACCCAGCCTCACAGGGAAGGCCGCTGTTTGCTGCTCCCTCTGCCCTCCAGGGAAGCCATGTATGCTCAGAGATGGTCAGCCTGCATCAGAGGCGGAAGGGGGCGGGGTGTGGGGCCTGTGGGCAGGGATGGGAAAGAAATCTGATGATGCTTAGGAGGCAAGGAGGTCAACCTCTGCCAAAGTCAGGTGTGGCAATAGGCAGTGGGCACCATGCAGGCGGCGGCCCTTTATCAGGGTCGGCAAACTATGGTGCAGCCACACCCGTGTGTGTTGTCCGTGGCGCTCTCGGGCTACAATGGCAGAGGCCAGGAGTATGGCCGCAAAGCCAGCCATTGTTGCCACCTGGCCCTTTACAGAAAAAGTTTGCCAGCCCCTGCTTTAAGTTTCAACCAGCCTGAGCTCAAGTCAAGGTCCTGCCCTTTCTACCCAGGTGAACCTGGGCAAGCCCCTTTCATCTCTGAACCTCATGCCTCAGCAGGCGGCAGGCTGTGGCCCAGGACAAAATCTTCCCCTTCCTGGAAAGGATAATTCGTAAACTCAGGTTTCTTCTTTGTTTCTTTGTTTCACTTTCTTTTTTTTTTTTTTCCCCCCAGATACTGGCTGACTAACAAAGTTCACATCAAAAGACCCACCACGGGCCTCTTGATGTACACCCTGGCCACGCGTTTCTGCAACCAGATCTACCTCTATGGCTTCTGGCCCTTTCCGCTAGATCAGAACCAGAACCCCGTCAAGTACCACTATTACGACAGCCTCAAGTACGGCTACACTTCCCAGGCCGGTCCCCATACCATGCCCTTGGAGTTCAAGGCCCTGAAGAACCTGCACGAGCAGGGGGCTTTGAAACTGACTGTCGGCCAGTGCGACGGGGCCACGTAAGGTGAGCGCCCCGTGGGACTCAGTGGCTCACATTTCCTGCCAGCTACACCACAGGCAGATGGGAGTCGGGGTGGCACAAACTCTAGAACAAGCAGGCTAGTGGTTTTCTTTGTTCAAGTGTAAAACAGTAACCAGAATATATATATCTATACCTGCATATATATATTGACCTGAGTATGTATAACCGTGTGGTGTTCATCTAGCATTAGGCAGATAAGCCACAGGAAGAAGGTGTGGAGAACCCACCTGGATCAGATTGAGACTCAGAGCATCTTTGGGGGCAGAAGGACTTGACAGGAAGAGATGTCAGTCCCATGACTGGATGACACACTGCCTCCCAAGTTGGAGGGGTCTTTGGGCTCACGGATGATTGGAGAACCACTTGTTGGCCGCTGCCCCAAGCCTCTGAGAAATGTGGATTCTGGGTGAGCCAAGACCAGAGGGGACAACTTGACCCAAGTCTAAAATGGTGCTGTTCCCAGGAAGAGGGAGGTTGGAACATTCAGCCCAGCCAAGGAGCACAAGGTCACCAAAAGGAGCAGAGGCCACGTCAGAGCTGAGGACTCGGTTCCATGAACTTAGAGTTGAACTGCCCACAGGACGAACCACAGTTGACCCACCTGTCCCAGACCAGCCTCCGTAGCTCTGGAGAGAAGGCTGGAGAAGACAGTGGACAGGTCCTATTCTGGCTTTGCAAGAACCCCCAAGAACCTGGGACCGAGCAGGCAGATGACACTAAATTGCTAGGGTGTTCCAAATCGTGTTTTCGAAAAATCGCAGCTTCCTACTAAGAGTCAGCACTCCAGCCCCGAATAAGGCAAAAGAGTGTCCCAAATGTGGTGGCTGTTCTTTAAAGCCACTTGAGTTGTCAAGGAGGAAGGAACCCTGGGCTTTCATCCTCAGGGTTAGCCTCCTTCCTGCTCTGTTAGAATGTCACAGGAAGGACTGTGCTCTTTCTTCCCTTCTGCCTCCAGGGAAGCCGCTGCAAAAGCTTGAAAGGGCACCGCAAAGATAAATGTCATCCCTTTAAAATATATGTGATTGCCTTCCTGGGTGCCTCAGAAGCCCCAGAGTGTGAGGCCCCAGAGTGTGGAAGAATGTTGAGCATCGAGCTCCATTTCTCTACAGCCACTCTGTTTGCTTTCTGCATCCTGCACTCCAGCGGGGGGTGTCTCTGCAGCCAGACTGCTGTGTCAATGTCACTTTCTTGTCACTTTCCGACCCTGATCGTCACACTTGCCGGCACTGAGCTCCAACACTGAGGTTTTCAGCTCTGTGGGGAGAGGTTGCAATGTCCATCCCCACCTCCCTCTTTTCACAGAGGCAGTGATTTTAGAATTTGGCAAAATCCTTTTCCCCCCTATTAAGATGAAGAGTTAAGACTTTTTTGCAAAACCCAAAGCCAAATGTAGTATCCAAATACTGGACATACTCTCCCCAGGGAAACCTGGGCTTGATGCCGATGATTTAGGGGCTGGAATGACATGTCACATGTAGACAAGCATTAGCCAGCTTGAGTTGTTAGATGCATTCCCTTGCCTGATAAATAACGGTGTTTTCAAATATATTTGAAAGATAAGTCAAAAAACATTATATTGAAGGTGAAGGGGGTTAAGAAAAGGGATCAAGATCCGCTCCCAAGCATATGAGACGACATAATTAATCAATGGCAATTCAAGCAGGACATTTGCTCTAAATTAATGCCTGACGGGAAACCAGTGGAGACAGTGGAAGGATGCTCAGAACCTATTAACCCTGCATGCAGATGCTCCAGCTCCAAACAAAGATCACGATACTATGTCTCTGTGTTTCTTCCCTTGTTCTTCTTGTTGACGCTTGAAGTCTGAGATTTGGGATTTGCATTCGAAAATTAATATTTAAAAAAGCAACAGCCCTAACAGACTCTATGGGGACAGAGTGGTTTGGACTTCTCACAAGAAGTGGAAATAATTAGTATCACATTTTACACTTCTCCAGGGCCTTTCTTCTTGAGCCTCTCAGAGACCTTGGAAGACATTTCATTGTTGAAGCTTGCAGTGCCCTGGGGATCAGGCAAAATTGCCAGTGGGGCCTCAGTGGGTTAGCTAAGGCCTTGGGTTCCAGAAGTTTCCAGTGGTGAGTGCAGAGAGGAACTCGATGTCAGGTCTTGGAGTTGGCCCTGCATTCCACATACCTGCCAGTGCCCACCTGCAGGGGAGTAAAGGGGCCAGAGCTCTTCGGAAAACACGGTTTTCTTTCTGTCTCTTCTTGGTCTTGGGTCCTTAAACTGAAATTGATGGAGTGGAAAGGGAAGGAACTCTTAAAACCTGCCTCTGGGTTCTCTCCAGAGAAGGCTGGGGACCCAGGACAATGCACACATCACCATTCCCAACCTGCAGGTCCTGTACTGCCAAAACACTTTGGCCCTGTGATGGCGTGAGTTCCAGAGACCTCGGCTTCCCTTCCCCCCTCGCCCTCTCCATCTGGGCACCATGATCAGGAGGCAGCCTGTCCTTTTCTCCTATTTAGAGCTCAATTTGCCCGAGGTTCCACTGTAGCCTCTGACGCAGCCCAGCTAGTCTGGGGCAGCCCCACGGAGTCCCGGCCTGTACCTGGTACCCGGTACCCTGATCTGCTGCCTTGTAATAACAGTGGCCACAGGCCTCTGGGAGCAGGTGCTCCATCAGCCAACCTCCTTTTGACCATCAGTCAATCCCCAGTCACCCCATCATCACCCACCCTGAAGCCCCTCAGATCTTCTCCATTTGCCTCAAACCCCCAAATGACCCCTACCGTCAGCCTCCTCCTTCGGTGAAGAGGTGGAATCATCTGAAATGCAGTCTCTCTTCAAAATCTCTTGATCTCTCCCCTCCCCTTTCACTTCCTTCCTCCCACTTCTGGGGAAACGACATTCATCCTCTCACCGGTCCTCAGCCACTCTGCTGCCTCTGTCCTCTCTTTCCACCAACAGGCACTCATTCCCCCCGTCCTGGCTGCTGTGGCTCGTCCCTTCACCACCAGACCTGGGGGTGGGGGGCTTTCTGGTGCTGGCACCGCCTTTCCTCTCGACCCCCTCGTGGCCCCCATGCTCCTGGGACCAGAGACTCAGCTGCCACGTCAAAAGCCCTTTCTCATCACCAAGCTTTTTGCACTGCTTGGCTCAACACTGACGCCTCCTGGACATTCCCTGTCCCCTTGGTGCCCAGGAAGCCATGTTCTCGTGACTCTTCTCCTTTGCCGATGCCCCTTTGTTGTTTATTTATGTATTTATTTATTTATGTATTTATGATTTATTTATTGACACCCTTACTTCATCTAAAAAGTAGCTGAGGTAGATCCGACCATTATTTCCCTCTCTCCTTCTTACCCCACACTGAGATCTTCCCCACCTTGGCGTCCTCTCCTCGGCCCCCTTTCGTCACATCCCTGCACACTCATCAGCAACCTCCCGCCTTCCTTCGGAGGCTTCCTACACTTCCGGCAGCCTAGCGCCTCCCGTGAGCTCCAGGCTCGATTGCACACGGCTCGTTGGCCATTCACCCCATCGGCTCCGGCAGCGCCAGAAACTCAACATCTCTGAAGCCAAGTGTATCATCTCTGCCTCCCCTTCCTCTACAATCTCTCCTTTTACTGTTCGAAGACCCATGATCCTCTCAACCACCCAATTCTGAGACCCTAAAGTCATCTTCATGTCTTCTCCATGCATTCCCTTGCTGCTCTTGCACTATCCTTGTCTTCTGGTCTCTCAATTTCAGCAGCAGTCTCCTCTCCCAGATTTCCTCTGGGCACACTTTCATGTTCTCCAGTCCATCCTAGACATTCATAGAGATTTTTTTTTTTTATCTCCAGCCATTCACAAACTTTTAAAATAATGTGCAAGTCTTCGTCCTGACATTACAGACCATCCAGTACAGCCCCATCCTTCCTTTACACCTTGTACCAGTCCATCTAGAGTAGCCGTCATTCCTGGAAGGGGTGCCCGGTTTTCCTGTCTCTGTGCCTTTGGTCTTGCTGTTCTTATCCCCTGAAACACTCTCTCCTGGTTCTTTCAAGGCCCATGCAGAAACCACATCTTTCATGAAGCCCCCTCCCGATCTACCAACCACTGGGATCTCTCCCTCCGCTGAACCACCGTAGCACTTTATTTGTACCTTTCTCATGGCACTTACCATATTCTGCCTTGTATTATAGTTATTGTGCACTTGTCTTATGACCGTTCTTAGACTGTAAGCTCGCCAAGGGCAGGGACTGTGTTTTATTCATCCATGTCCATCACAGCACCAGGGGTGGTGCATAGCACACAGCAATTGCTCAATAAATGTTTGTTGGATTAAATCCTCAATGCCTATCAAGGGTTGTATAATTAAGAAAGTCATTTTGTGTCTTATAGTGTCACAGGAACTTCCAAAGAATCATGTAAGTTAGGAAGATGCAGAAATCATTATCCCCATTGTATAAGTCATAAGACTGAGGCAAAAAACACATGAAGCCACATAGCTCACCAAAAGAATTTGCATCCAGGTCTTCTGGTCCCCACTCTAGGGCTTTTTCTGTTCATCCTTGCAGTTGAGTCACTGTAAATTGAAAACTGACCCTAGGCAAGGTCCTGGCTGCCACGGGTCTGGGCATCAACTTCACAGAGTCGGGCAAACCTTACTGTGAAGCCCCGCTCATGAGCCCATCAGCACAGGCAAAATCTCGCTCTTTTTTGGAGAGGACAAAAGCCATTCAGGTTTTACCAGGCCCAGGGGGTGGAGCTGTGGGACCTCATAAATCATTTCCACTGCTGTTGTCACAAGGTAGAAACCATCCGTCCAGATGGCAAAGAGACTACCAGCTCCAAGGGGCTGCTGTTTGATAAATCTCTTCATGCCTAATTAAGGCTCCCCTTCCAGAATGAATGGAACAGGAACAGGAATGAATGATGCCAGTCAGATGGGACTCCAGACATGCATGCTACCTCATGAATGCCCTTAATAGCATCCCCAATGACACTGACAGTCTGCCCCAGCCTGCCTGTCTCTCACCAGCACTGCCGGATGTCATCATCTTTTCCCATCTTTATCTCCATCCTTTCGTTTTCTCCTCTCCAGGGCTCTTTGCCTTGGCACCCACCAAAATCAGGGTGAACCTTGGAGAGCCAAGTTATAGCTCTTCCTGGGGACCGGAGCCCTGGCCTGGGGCAATGTAGTGAAGTGGCAGGAGGGGAGGAAAGAGGGGGGCACACTATGCCATAGAACAAGGAGTTGTTCTGGTGGTGGGCCATCCATAGCAATGAGAGGTTTCCATGGTTACTGTCTAGAAGCAATGTTTTTGTCACCTTTGGGCTTCATGATGAGGGTAGGAGTTTCATTTCCATCCTTAGTGGTCCAGGTGGTGGGACCAGTTTCCACATACAGTGCATTGAGCTCTCCAACCCCAGGTCATCCCATGTGTTTAGAATCACCCCAGTTGGCTGTAGCCAAAGCCCAACAGAGCCACCCAGCAAGGACACTGAAGGTCCTTTGTGGCCTCTCTCCCTGTCTTCCTTGCCACTTTCTCAGCCATCCCACCTCCCCCTAGAACTTGGGGTGGGAAATGGGATTCCCAAGGGGTTCCAAGACGTGTGTCAAGAAAACCCCAAATACTCCAGCCATGACAACATGTTCAAGTATTAAAGAGGTTTCCCTAAAACTGATCTAGCACTAGCTGTCAGCAGTCAGTCCTTGGGGAAGTCATAGAATATTACTGCCTGGCTGACAACCAGGCAGTGGGGAGATGGCCCCGTGGCCCACGTGGACCCTGCAGAGCAGGCCCAGCCAACAAGGACTGCAGACTCCAGGGCGGAACATTGAGGTAAGTCAAGGTGAGGCTGGAGCCGCAAAACACCCCTTTGATTTATTTCAAAGCGCCTTCATTTTCTAGAACAAGGCTGTCACGGTAGAGTTGCAGGACAGTGTCTGTGATGGGATGTTGGCTGTTGCAAAGAAGACCACTTTGGGGTGAGCTGCTTTGCTCAAGGAAAGCCAGGATTGAACTTTCCCATCCCCACGGCCAGGGTTGCAGTGAATGTAACTCAATGTATAGTAAGTCCCCTACGTATGAATGAGTTCCATTCTGAGAGCACATTCATAAGTCCACTTTGTTTGTAAGTCCAACAAAGTTAGCCTAGGTACCCAACGAACACAATCGGCTATGTACCACTGCTTTTACGCTTGCTTCCAGACATCCTGAGTTTGAAATAACGGTACCCCTACTACTGTACTCTATACAGTACTGTAAAGTATTGGGTTGGCCAAAAAATGCCTTCGGTTTTTAAGTAAAAATAAAAGACATATTTTTCATTTTCTCCAAGAACTTTATTGAACAACCTATTCACCCTTTTATTCCACTACTTTCTGCTATTTTTCAGGCAACTTCATAATTCCATCTTCCCAAAACCTTTTGAGCAAAGAATGGTTCCAGGTGCCTTTTACAGTCTTCCAGGGAATTGAAATTTTTTTCCATTAAGAGAATTATGTAAAGACCAAAATACATGGAAATCCGAAGGTGCAATGTCTGTTGAATATGGTGGATGAATCAGAACTTCCCAGCCAAGCTGTAACAGTTTTTGTCTGGTCATCAAAGAAACATGCAGTCTTGCGTTATCCTGATGGAATATTATGTGTTTTCTGTTGACTAATTCTGGACCCTTTTCGTCGAGTGCTGCTTTCAGTTGGTCTAATTGGGAGAAGTACTTGTTGGAATTAATTGTTTGGTTTTCCAGAAGGACCTCATAATAGAGGACTCCCTTCCAATTCCACCATATACACAACACCACCTTCTTTGGATGAAGACCGGCCTTTGGTGTGGTTGGTGGTGGTTAATTTCCTTTGCCCCATGATCTCTTCCATTCCACATTGTTGTACAGTATCCACTTTTCAACACCCGTCACAATTTGTTTTAAAAATGGAATGTTTTCATTACATTTAAGTAGAGAATCGCATGTGGAAATATGGTCCAGAAGGTTTTTTTCGCTTAATTTATGTGGAACCCAAACATCAAAGCGATGAACATAACCAAGCTGGTACAAATGCTTTTCAACACTTGATTTGGATATTTTGAGTATGTTGGCTATCTCCCACATGGTATAACATTGATTGTTTTCAATTAGTGTCTCAATCACTATCAACTTCAGCTGGTCTACCCAACCACGGAGCATCACCCAGCAAGGAGAAATCTCCAGCATGAAACTTCGAAAGCCACTTTTGACACGACCGTTCGATCAGTCACAGCACCTTCTCCATACACTACACAAATCTTTTTGTGTGTGTTGGTTGTGTTTTTACCTTTCTTGAAATAATAAAGAATAGTGTGCCAAAAATGTTGCTTTTTTTCCTTCCATCTTCAATATTAAAATGGCTACACAAAAATTCACCAAGTTTGATAAGTCTTTTTTTAAATGCACGCTGATATGACAGCTGTCACATACAATCTAACAAAATCGTTTCGAATGAAGTTAAAGACAACTAAGTGCTATTAGAGCCAGCTGATGGAAAAAAACAAATGAACATATTGGCCAACCCAATACACAAAAGTACAACTACTTACAGAGGATGCACACACGTGACAATGTACGCCAGACATGTGAACTAACTTACCTAATTGGACATGTGAATGCACATTCGCATCTTTGGAAGTTCGCAACTTGGAGCTTCATATGTCGGGGACTCGCTGTAACAACAACTGTGACTTCTCGTGCTCAGGAGTATCTCTGGGCAAGAGCTCTGGGACGGGTACCCGATGATCCAGAAGCCTGCCATTCAAGAACCCAGGGGACACGGATGAGTCATTCAACACTGGTGCCTTCTCAGCTATAAAATGGAGAAGACAGCTACCTACCTTCTTCCCAGAGTAATTGTGAAAATGCAAATAAAGGATGGGGCAGAGAGAAAAGTCGGGTGGGGGTAAGTGGGAGCCAATGAAATGCATGCAGCCACGAGTTTTAGGATTCTGCTCATGTAATTGCCCTGCTTAAACATATCAGTGGCTTTCCTTCGCCCTTGGAAGAGAATTCGAAGCATCTTACCATGGCTTATGTAGTCTTGAATGCTCCCCTCCCCTCTGGCTCACTACACACCAGCCACACAGGCTTTTTTGCTTCTCCTAGTACTTTCCAGACTCATTCCAGCCTTTGCACATTCTGTCCCCTCTGCCTGGAAAGCTGCTTCTTCAGCTCCTTGCAGGACACACCTACCTCATCTTTCAAGTCTCAAACTGAACGTCACCTCCGGGGGAGTCTGTCGCAAGTCTCTCTCAGCCAATCACTCTCTATTACATACACATTATCCTGCTAGGTGGTCCTTATAAACCATCTGAATTATCTCACTTATTTTGTAGTTCTCAACCCTGAGAAAATTCATAAAAGACCCCCATGTCCAGGCCACAATGGGGACAAGTTTAGCAATATCTCCAGAAACAAATGAGGGACATAAGTTTAAAAAAAAAAAAAAAAAAAAAACTCCTTCTAGTGCACGGCCAGGATTGGGAAACACTGACATATTTGCTCCCCTGTTTATTGTTTGCCTGCCCTTCTAGACTGTTCAGTGGGGACTTGTTTTCCATAGCAGTGTCTTGTGCCCTGGGTGGCAGAAGTGGCCACCCTCCACGGTTATGGTTAATGTCTTTTCTTGGGGCACTGGCAACAGATGACAGTGTGACCACTTTCCTGGCCCTCTCAGGAGGCACAGAAGAGCTCTGAATTCTCACAGTGACACTTTGTCCCCTGTGGCCCCTGCAGGTAGATGACCAGCATTTTACCCCTTTAGCTGAGCTGGTGGGAGGAGTTTTTCCAGTCTCCTTCCACCTACTCAGAGACCTTCATGACTCTTGCCCTACACGGGAGGCTCATCCCCAGCCCCACTTCAAAGACCTTGGCCAGCTCAGCTGCACATTGGAGCCACTGGGGGAGTTTAAAACCCACTGGTACCTGGACCCCACACCCCGGGATTCTGATGTGATTGGTCTGGGGTGTGGCCTGTGCATCTCCAGAAGCTCCCCAGCTGGTGCTGAGGTGCAGCCCCAGCTGGAAAGTGCTGACCCAGATCCAGTTCCTGAACCCCGGCACCTCTTCCACAGCAGCCCAGCTCAGGCCTCTGGTTGGAGGCCATGCTTTCATTTATGGCTTCTGAGGGTTTTCTTCCTTGACTTCAGGTTAGCAGGTTTTATTGTTGCTGCTCCTGTGTTAGTCACGTCCAGGATTCAGGACTGTTGAGTGCCTGATGCAGGAGGAAAGGCTTGGCTGCCATATTGCTTGCTTCTCCTTCCAAAATGCAAGCTCCATGAGGACAGGGGCCCTGTCTGGTGTGTTCCCTGAAGCCTCTCCAGCTGCTGGAACTGTGCCCGGCACAGAGAAGGCACTTAGTAAACCCCCATTGCATGAATGAAAGAACAAGCATGAGCTGCACAGGTGTGTGAGTGCTTCGAAGAAAGACTTGTACCTCATTGATCCCCAAAGTTGGGAGGAGTCCCACCTGATGGAAAGAACACCAAGGCATACTAAAGAGCAACAGAGATTGCTCCCACTTCCTCAGCTAGTCCCTGCATTCTGGTGATTTCTATCACACTTATCCTTAGCAATAGCCCTGTGTGTTTCATTGCCCCCATTTCACAGATTAGATAACCAAGTTTCTCAGAGGTTAAAAACTTTCTCAAGATGCCAAAACTCATAAGTGGATAGTTTGATGTCAAAGCCAACACAGTTAACACCAGCCCACCCTGCTAGCCCCTCAAGACCACTTAATTCTCTCAACCTTCTACCATGTGGTCATGGAGAGAGAACAGGACTTGCCTTCCTTCCACCCAGACTCCACACAGGCCCCTCATTGACTCTTCCCACCAGGGGAGCTGCTATAGACCCAGAACATACCTGTGCAGCAATGTCGATTGTTAAACTACTTCCTTGCCAATTGGTCAAGAGCTACAGACCCCAGCCCCCAGTACCCCGTGATCCAGCACTGTGGCCAGAGTCCACTCTGATTGGTCAGGGCCCCTCTGAATTGTTGAATATTTCGCATATCACCCCTGCTCCCACACGCTCCAGGCAGGAGGGCTGCTTGGGCATTTTAGACCACTGGGCAAGACACCAGAGCCTCATCACATTGGTGTTTTTGTGGAAGCCAAGCCTAGAGAAGTGGCTGCCTTTTCTCCCTCTTGTTTTCCATGGGTACATCCCTTAACCCAGAGAACATGATCTGTGTCGCCCTGTGAGTACAGATTGCAAATTCAATTCTAGAAACGTGGGGAGGCACACGGAGAAGGAGAGGCATCTTAGGACAGTCAGGCAAGACCAGTGATGGGAAACAACTATTTTGAATAGTATCTGTGAGGGCTGGCAGGCAGAAGGGTGATGGGGCACGGAGCGGGTGGCAGAGGACCAGAAAAGAACAGATAATGTTTATTGAGCTCTAACTAAATGCTTTACATGGACTAAGTCATTTAAACCTCACGGCCACCCCTTTCATGTGGATGCTATTAATATTCCCACTTCGCAGATGAGAAAACTGAGGCAAAGAAGCTGGTTAACTTGCTCAAGATCAAAAAGCTAGGAAGTGGTTGAGCTGGGATTTGAACCCAAGTCCTCAGTTCCAAAGGGGTTCAGGAAGCCCCTAAGCTTCACTTTGACCTGCATCCCTTGATGCCCTGGGGTCTGCATTAGCCTTGCTGGTGAGTGATGTAGCTGGTTCCCACAGGTGCTGTTCCCACACCAGTTGCAGCCGCTAGCCCCTCCACACCCCAAGCTGTCACCCCCAGGCCCACCCAGTGGAAACTCTCATTAGTGCAGTGACAGTGACAGGCACTGGCTGCACAGCCTTGGGCCCTGTGGATGCAGCTGCTGCCTTTTGAACTTGGCAGGGAAGCTGGAACTAGACATTCCCACCTGCACATGCTGGGTCGCTTGGCCTGGTGTCTGGGAATGAGATGGGGGCAGCCAAACCATGGGCTGCTAGAAAAATGTGGAATCACCTTCTGGCAGAGGCCAGGCTGGAAACGAGAAATAAAACCAATGAAACAGAGGACAGAAAGGCATGAATGATGAGCAAGACCACAGATACAGGTTGGGAAATGTCCTGGTTCTTCCCTGTGGCCTCTGCAAGATGTCACCAGCTATCCTAGTTAGGACCTTTGATCCAACAGCATACCTCAAAATTAGGTGTTCATACCAGACTGAGTTACAGCAGAGAGGTGGCCTCCAGCCCTCTGCAGCATTGGGAAACTTGGGGACCTCAGACCACCCAGGTCTAACCTCTCCTTTACAGCATTCTGTCTGCAGCGTGGGCTGGGTCCAGCTGCTTCACCTCCTGTCTCTGTTTCCTCATCAGTAAACTGAGAAAAGACACCTCCTGGCTCAGATGCTCTTGGAATTGAACCTGATGAGACACGTTGAGTCCTTCATCCACAGAAGGCAGCTGATAAATGCAGGGCAACTCACTGCCTTCTTTTCCAGCCTCTCTCCCAGGCTCAAGGGGCAAGGACTAGTGTGTGGAGAGTTCTCAGCTCCCACCTGGCTCAGCTCACCTCCTTGGCTGTCTTTGCAGCAAGTAGGAGGGCCTGACAGGCAGCAGGTGCCCAATAATGAAGGAATGCCTGTTGAATGAATGAATGTCCTGGTGCTTCCCTGTTTCCTGAAAACATTTCTCTCTGGCTACTCACCAGATGGGCTGCCCAGACCTCGGTTTCCATACCTGAACAGAATAGGTAGGTTTCTCCACCTCCCTCTACCAGAGAGCTGCAGGAGTGTTCATAGTAATGGAACAGACAGCTGAGGGTTTTGAATGCCAGTCGGCACCCCTAGTTTAGTGTTGGCACCCCCTCAATTCCCTCCCTATTGCACTCCAGAAGAGGCACCTTTTTCCAAATGGCTTGGTATCCCTGCAACACCCTGAGTCAAGTAGTCTTAGAATTGTCCATTTGTTGAGTGTCTAGCATGTGTCAGCCACTGCCTTGGGACCTTTGACTAGATAATCTCCCTCCTCCATCAGCGCCGTAAGGTCAGGATTATTTATCCCCATTTTACAGATGAGGCGTCCAAGGCCCATGGCTTATCAGATGGCTAGTAAGTGGTCAAGCTAGGGTTTAACCCAGGTTCAGAATTCCTTCTATGAATCTCTGCCTCCCTATCTGCACAGCAATTGAGGCCCATGCATTCATTCACTCACTCATTCATTCATCTCTATATCCATTCCTTTAAGAAACATCAGGGCATTCCCACCGGGTGTCATGACACATGAACACTCTGTCCATGGTCTTGAGGGACTCATAGCCCAGGGGTGGGAGTGGAGGAGGGAGGGTGGAGATATGGTACAGCGCTGTAAGGGTTAATGTAGAGGAATGAGCAGATTGCTGCTGAAAGAGAGAGAGAGAGAACAGAAAGAAAGGAGCAAAGAACTCTGCTTGTAGGAAGGTTCACCCGGGAGGACACTAGGGGACATGCTTCACAGAGGAGGGGGCATTTGAATTCCTGCAGTAAATGAGTGTTCCCCTTGCTGTTAGTTCTCTAATTCACGCACTACAGATTCTTCCTCTTCAACTTACCATTCTTTATGACGACCTCTACTACTGAGGGGAAGCAGAACTTGGAAACAAGCCCTAGGGACTTAGTTCACGCACCTATGAAGACAGCTCCCCTTTCCTCTACACACCCAGGGACCACAAAGGGAGAGGGAGGGATGGGACACTCTGGCCTTATCCTCCCATACTCCCAAAGCGTGGTGACCGTCCAGCTCTGGGGCAGCTCTGGGGTGTAGTCCACATGTACAGTACACAACCCCCAACTAACGAGCCACTCAACAGATGGCACCAACGAGAACAGGTAAGGAGAAGGCTCCCAGTGTGCCTAACCATGTCATCTTCCAGTCATTCATTCAATTTCATGGACACACTGAGAGGCAGCAAGGAACTAGCCCTGTTCCGGGCATTGTGGGAGACATAATCCCTGCCCCTGCAGGTTCAAGTCTAATGGAACAATTATGTACAACCAAGGCAGAGCAAAATAAAAGGGAACCACCTATCCAAGCTGGGGGGATTCAGAACAGGTTTCACAGAGGAGATGATAGATGAGCTGGGCCTTGAATGCATGGAATTTTGATAGATGGATAGACTCTCGACTACCCTCTCTGGGAAGTTTCCCCTCCTTGGTGACAGCAAAGGACAGGGGACAGCTCAAGCAGCTGGCTGCCACACTGCTGCCAATTTCCGCCAATTCACAAAAGCCACCAAAGGAACCAGCCCTGCCATCACCAGTCCCGCCACCCCTCTAGGTCTTGACGCTGCCCCAGGGGAGGCCACTTGGATTCATGAGAATGTTGATTTGTGGATAATGGTCTCTGCCGTGCCAGGGGGAGGAAGGACAGGCAGGTGCCCACTCAGTAGGCAGCTGTTGTCCACTGTGTCAGCTTGTTTCTTCCAATCCAAGCCCACCCCTCATGGCTTCATCTTCTTCCCACTGTGCCTTCCCCCAAGGTGTGGCTAACAAGACCTCGGTGTTCCATTTCTAATCACAGTCTCCGTGGTTGGTTTGCAGCTCTTCTCACTGTAATACCAGTCACCTGTCCAGTCCTTGAGGAAATGCTACAGCGTTTCCCAGGATGGCTGTTAACTCCATTGGCCACTGAAGCCCATATCCTCTCTCTCTTGGTCTTTCTCATGGAGGATAGTATTCTCTTGCTTCTCACCAGTGGGAGTCAAGCGGATAGAAAGGAGGAGCTAAGGATGAAAGTAGTGGCAGCTCCGTAGATCTCTGAGCTGGGCGAGCAGGACTATGCTCTTTTTCTTGCAGGAGACCCTCTAACCATAGCAACTGGACTGGGTGCAGGCTGCTGAGGGTGCTCCTGGCTGCATTCTCGGCTCCACCCGATCAACAATAAGCTGTGCTCTTGGACCTCCTCATCGTGGCCACGCACTGTGGTTCCCTCCTCCTAATCTCTTCACTTTACCCCAGTCCCTACTGTAGGGGATCTGCTCTCTTGATTTACTTAACGCTTTTAATTCTACCAAATGCAACAGGCAGAATATGTCCACATATATATAAGGACAACCTTATGTCTTTACAAACACCCTAAATAGTTCCTCAAGAAATATATTATCAACATGGTCATTACTTATCCTAATATATGTGTGTCCTCCAAAACAACAGATTATCTAACCAAATCTACCGAATGGTAGAAAAAGTTGGAGTTAGAGGTAGCCAGACACCTTAATGCATCTCTTGTACTCTGGCATGAGAATTCAAAATTATACATGAAATATGCCCAACCCAGAAACCACAAGTTCCTCTGACTATGTCCAAGACGAGAGGGCTCTGAGTCTGCTCCCTCTCGTGTCCTGAGCCACTGGCATCACTATGCCCTATCTTCTGATGTAGCATCTCCATTTGCCCGCTCCTTGTGGCCTTGACTAGCCATGTCCTCCCTAGCTCATGTTCATTCATTACTGCTGTCTTCCATCTGGCCCAGCACACTGAGTGGACCCCAGAGCGACTGATCCCTGGCTCATTTCAGAGTCTCTTAAAAGAAATCTCCCCTTGGGTGGCCCAGGTGGGCAAAGACAGGAATTTCTTGGACCTCACCCCTTAGGTATTCCACCCCCAACCAGTCAGCTGTGAACATCGGAGGGAACTGCACTCAAGCCCTGGAGGAAAGTGGAAGCTCAGATTGGAGGAGCCATCTGGACAATTCAAAATACTGAAATTGCCTCTCTCAACCCCAGTCTGGTGTGGACAGTCATGAACAGATCATGGAAGAGACACATCTCTGTTACTTGATGAAGTCTCTTTCCGTATTTGCTCCTTTATCTGGATTGATTTTGTTGTGGAAAATAAGGTAACAAACTCAGAGTTTAAAATAAGGTTCTGTCTTAGGGAACCCTCCTACACTGTTGGTGGGAATGTAAGTTGGTGTAGCCACTGTGGAAAGCAGTATGGAAGTTCCTCAGAAAAATAAAAATAGAATTTCCACATGATCCAACAATCTTAGTCCTGGGCCTATATACAGACAAAACTATAATTCCAAAAGATACATGTGCCCCTATGTTCATAGCAGCACTATTCACAATAGCTAAGACATGGAAACAACCTAAATGGATAAAGAAGATTTGGTATATATATACAATGAAATACTACTCAGTCATTTAAAAAAAGAATGAAATAATGCCATTTGCAGCAACGTAATGCAACTAGAGATTATCATACTAAGTGAAGTAAGTCAGAAAGAGAAGGACAAATACAATATGACATCAGTTATATGTGGAGTCTAAACTATGACACAAATGAACCTATCTGTGAAACAGAAACAGAATC